AAAGATGTTCCTTTCGTCTGGGATGCGGCCTGTGAAGAAGCGATGCAGTCTCTCAAAGAAAAGCTGAAAACAGCTCCCGTGCTGCGTCATTTCGAGCTGGTAAAGTTAATAGGGGTGCACACGAATGCATGCGATAACGGCATTGGTGCCGTGATCATGCAAAATACCGGAGCTCAAGAAAGAGTGATCGCCTATGCTAGCCGGCATCTTAACAAAGCCGAGATCAACTACAGCACAACCGAGAAGGAATGTCTTGCGGTCGTGTACCCCTGTGGACAGTTTCGGCCACATTTTTGGCACAAAATTCACAGTCGTGACCGACCAGGTTAGCCTTGCTTGGCTCATGAAGGTCAGGAATCCGAATGGTCGCCTCGTGCGGTGGTCTTTGTTGCTGCAAGAAATTGACGTAACGCTGAAGCATCGACTATACTTAAGAATGAAAATGCTGACACGCTCTTTCGCCTTCGTCATGATCCTGCACCAGTAAGCGAAGAAATCACATTGCCATTGCTGGTTCTGGATTGAGTGAACGTTGGAGAGAAACAGAAGGTAGATCTATAGATGAAAGAGATTATACACCACCTCGAGCACCCGAACGCATCCGCTGTCAGAAAAATTAAAAGAACGGCTCGCAGCTTTTGCTTGATCAATGAGCTGTATCGGAGGGCGAAAGGGTTTCGGGAAGACTGGACCACACTCGTTGTCCCTGAGTGCCTGAGACCAGAGATTCTGAAGCACTGCCATGACGACACCACGGAAGGCCACCTCGGTGTGAGGCGCACATGGGAAAAAGTACGTTGCAGGTATTTCTGGCCGAAGATGTTCGCATACGTGAGTTCTCACCTGTCCAGACTGCCAGACGAAAAAACCACCACCAGGCAAACAGATCGGATTTCTCCAACCTATACCTCCAGCAAGGCGGCCATTCGAGAAAATCGGGATGTCTTTTCTTGGACTCTTCGTGAAAAGTAAACGCGGCAATCGCTACGTGCTTGTGATGACTGACTACCATACAAAGTGCGTAGAAGCGGGCACCTGCCCCACTGCAACGGCCGTTGAGGCAGCCCAGGCTTTTGTCTAGCAAGTGGTTCTACGACATGGAGTTCCGGCGAAGTTAATCACTGATCGGGGAAAGCATTTTTATTAACTTCATTGCAGAGATAATCCGAGTAATGGGGAGCAACCACGTCAAAACCTCCGCCTACCACCCGCAGTCGAATGGCCTGTGCGAGAGATTCAACCATACGCTTGCAGACACGCTCACTATGTACGTCTCTACAAATTACCATGATTGGGATGAATTCCTTCCCGATGTTGTCTTCGGTTATAACTTTTCCCAACAAGAGACAACCGGCTTCACTCTATTATTCTTGTTGCATGGCCACGAGCAGACTTTGCCTATTGACGCGAGCCTCAACCTACAACGTGACAACGAAGACGCTTTCGACGCATATGCAGTGGCGCATGGGCTTCGCCAAGCTCGGGAGCTCATGGCTCAGCGTGAGAGGGACAAACAAACAAAAAACAAAGAAGCGTACGATGTCCTCCGATGGGGCACTGTGTTTCGACCGGGGCAATTCGTGTACGTGTAAACGCCCTCACGAGCGAGGGGCAAAACAACAAAGCTCCTCCACTGTTACCTTGGACCAGTTCGCCTCCTTCGACAAGTCGCGAAGAACAACTGGCAGGTCATATACCGCAATGGAAGGAAGAGTGACACTGTGAACGTAGCGCGTTTAAACCTGTGTCGTCCTCGTTCATGTTTCGACTACCATGAGGATGACGAGAGTGAGAGTGAACGTGAGTGTTCGGTCCGTGTTGACACACCAGTGCCGCAGGGTGGTGCGGCAGTTACGCCCACGAGTGACCACGGTCAAAGTGAACATTGGACTAGTGACACCGAGGTCTAATTTGATCCCAGGGCACAATATTGGGACCAGTCAGCCGACACCAAGCCGAAAAGACTCGGAATCTGTGACAGTGACACCGAGATTTACTATACAGTCGGTGATCTTGAGTGAGTGAGTTGTAGGACTCCTTTTTGAACTCCGTGTGTCGCAGCGTGTGCTTTCGTACTGTGATGTGCGTGTCAGAACTCCAGTTAGCTGTTTATCTTTTCCTCGTTTCACTGTTTTAAATGAAGTTTCATTTTGAGCATCTGTATTTCTTCATCTTGTATTAGTGCTTCAGTGTCTTGCTGATGTAGAATGTTTTGTAGATTTATTAGGTCGCGGGTCGCCTTTTTGACATGTTATAGTTATGTGTCTTTTAATTTATGTGTTTTATTTTTGAAAGAACGTGAAAGTCTTTGCTTTTTTTTTTGGGAGGGCGCGAACCGCATTATGTCTTTGTGTGCGGCTTTTCATTGTACTCATCAAGAGTGAGGACACTCTTAGTTCGTATAGGGGAGGTGTCGCGTAAACGTTGATGTAGCTATTTTCTTTTAACTTTTGTCACTTAATTTTGTTGCGTAATTTTGTTTTTAAACAAGCCTCAGAAATCCTCGCCACTGCAGCGAAGACGAATCTACCAGACTCGTACATTGTTTGGACTCCACGTCACAAGTCGCTCATGGGAAATGAGGCAGCCAATGTTTTCGCTCGAGTTCATGTTCACCGGGCCATTCCACAGGATGTGCTAAGGAAAAAAGAAGATGTACCAAAAAAGTACATCTTCTTTTTTTTTGAGTGATACGTTGCCCTTTTTTTGGCAGCAATAACAGCTGCCAAAAAAAGTACAACGAGATACTGCAGCACTACAGGCTAAACAGAAGAATTGAGGAGGAAGAAAAAAAATTGCTGGAGTGGAAGCTCTCGCAATGCCTTGCCAGCAGAAGTGAAGCCAGTTTTTACCACTGCCAAGATGTCGGAAACAGGCTCTTTACTGGTAGTACCCACTTAGAGATCAAGTGGCCTTGATATGTTAGTGTAAATGCTATGCTAGTTCTATATTAAAGTTAGTTGGTCTCAATCAAATAACACACAGAAACGAGTATGGGCGACTTATTCTTCAGAGAACTTTGCCTCCAAGTAGAGGCTTATTAAAAAAACCAGTCGCACTTGGAGAAGTATGTCACCCGAAAACGTTTGCACAATAAACTCGCTGGGTGTGCGAGAGAAACGCTTCGTTCTTAATCGCTGAACGGTGTTTTTTCCTCTTAATTACAGGGATCTGCGGGACGGCTTTCTGCTCTCTCACAGTGCAGTACCAAGCACTGAAAATCGTTAAACATCTCTTTTCTAAACACACGGTGATACTTTATCATGTCCCTAGTTAGAGGGCCGCGGTAGCCACCATATTGCCGGTAGCACAGTTTCACTCCTGGGCAGTGATTCCCACTCCAGCATTTTTTTTAAATCCTCATTGAGAAAAATTTATCCGCCAGCTCACCCCAGCCTGACTCGGGAAGAGTGAGTAACCCTCAGGAAGCTGCAAACTAACACCTACGTGCACAGTACGGTGCTTCACCGCGTCTCTTAACCGAGTACTCGTACAACTGCAAGCACTGTGACGTCTGAGAAACCCTATTCCATATAGTATGGCGATGCAGACAAAGCCCCAGAGCCACTACACTAACCGAAGAGCAGTGGGAGGCCCAGTTATCAGACCCGGGCCTGAAGAATCAACGCAACATGGTTCAACGGGCACGGGACATGGCGAAAGCATGGAATAAGGAAGCCGCCCACCTTGGGCGCACAATACGTTTGCTCAAATAAATGTTTATTCTCTCTCTATCGCGCAATCTGTTGAAGTATATTCATAACGTCATATCCGCGACGGAAATACGTCAGTGGAGCCATGGGGGGGGGGGGCCGGCATCACACACTTTCGTGTTGCCCCAACCAAGCTGGTCTTAAGTGCTCGGCTGCTGACCCGGACGTAGCGTTATCGAATCCGGGCTGCGGCGGCTGTATTTTCGAAGGAGGTGAAAATTCTGTAGGCCCGAGTGCTCACATTCGAGTGCACATTAAAGAACCCCATGTGGTAGAAATTTCCCGAGCCCTCCACTATGACGTCTCTCATAATCATATAATGGTTTTGGGACTCTAAATGCCACATATCACTCATAAATAAAATAGTGTCATGTTAAAAAGTGCCCCCATCCTACAGTGTACTAGAAATATTTCTAGTACACTGTACCCCATCCCTCTTCGCCCCCGAAAAAAAAAACGCCAAGCCAGCGCGTAAGCCGCAGCGCAGTCAGAGCGAAAGCTAGAAGAGCAGCCTTGCAGAGTCTTCATTGCAGAGCACTCATTGTGTAACTACTGCAAGCACACTAGCTTGGTACCCACTACGGGATTATCAATACATTTTTTGGTAGTATACCGGCATTTGATATGCTATTTATTGTCATTCTTCTGAAAAGTGTGGTATCCGCTAAACATTTGCAAGGCATTTTGTGCCAATCGTTTATGCAGTGGCTGACGACGGTGAGGAATCATGGCTGAATTGGGTATGCGCAATAGTTAACAGGGGAACTAGAACAAGCTTTTGTAATGTATTGGAGCTTTGGTTGACCCACTCGTTAGGCTATTCGCATTGTGCGACGACTGGTTGCTCTTTCGCTGTTTTAAAACGCTTTGTAAGTCGTATTAACGCGATTGCTTTCCCGACATCAAGCCTGCCTAGCGCAAGTTTGACAACAAGGCACAATCACCGGTGCAGCTCAGTGGTAGGATACTGGGCTGGCACCCAGTGGACCCGGGCTTGAGCCCCACCATGTCATTGGTGTTAGGTTCTTTATTTCTAATTTCGCGCTAAGTGGTTACGGACACCAGCGGTGGTGGCGGAGGCGGCGGGAAACTATACTGTGGCGTGTGACCTCAGTCGTGATCTCATAACAGCTTTTGCTCTAAAAAATTGTGCCTACGACCCTTATTCACCAGCACCAGCAAATATTAGCTATAATATTGGCTATCGACTAATATAACGAGGAATTACATATGTAGTGCACCACGTAAAACATTTGCTTAAACTTTTTTCTTCTTCTTCTAACGCAGGAGGGGTGCGTTTTCTTCGTCCAACTGGTCACCTGTCAAACTGGACGCACGGCGAGTTCCTACGACAACATATGAAAACGTGATCTCTACCACTTCTTCCTGTCACATCATCATCAACGAAAGCGTCTGCTAATGTACTCCATATGATATTCACTCTGAGTGTATTGATACTTCGTGAAAATTATGGGTTGCTGCTTTGGCAAAACGTTTTGTGGGCCAAGTTGGTTAATGAAGGCAAGAAGAAAAAAATCGTAAAGACATTCTGTTGGGTGAGTTGGTTAATGAGTGCAAAAATGGAAAAAAAATCGTAACGCTAAAGGAACAAAGACAACAAAAGAAAAAGCACCCGTCCTGTTCTTCTGTAATACTGTTCTTTCTGCAGGACTGTGTTTTTTACTGATTGTTGATCTCTGTCTCGCATCCAGTAGATCTGTTCTGAATAGGGCTCACACATACGCAACTTCATCACCGTATCCGGGTCAAGCGGAAAAATTCTTACGCACTGGCGCTGTAAAGTCTCCCGCACAAACAGCAATAACAGCTGCCATCTATGGCGTTGCTCAGAAGTTCTAACTCGAGGGTCTCACGAGCAGTATTAAGTCACAAGTCACAACAGCCCATGCTCTCAACTGGTTTATCACTGCACTGCTGAGTTGAAAGGAGGATGAGCCATCTAAAACCGAAAAAGTGTCACAGGAATGGGTTCTCGATAATGATGCCGGCATCGCGATAACCCGTGAACGCTGATACTTTCGTTGTTTCTCGTAGGGCAACGCAAATCATGAATCTCCTGCGTGTCGGAGAGGTATTGTGATAGTTTAATTGTCCGCCTCTGGAACAAGAAAATGTACAGTGCGGGAGATGACCGTTTGGTGCAGTTGATTGCAACGCCACGGCGTCGAAACACATGAATGCAGCCTGCCGACGGTAAACAAAGATATGTTTTCTTTATTTCTGTGTTTTGTCTGAACTGGGCTCAAATTGGCCACCTCAAAGGGGCACCAGTGGGAGCATCTGGAAATTGTGAGAATGCGGAATGCATTGATATTCGCAGTGACCACGGCCTGTAGATGGCGCGCTGTGCAATCCAAGATGGCTATGGAAGGACGATCAACCCACTCGCATAGGAAAATATAGGACGCACGGACTTACGACCCGCGCCGCTTTCACTGTATGAACTCTGGATCGTCAAAGAACGTATAATGAACCAAAGTACTTTCCCAAACTATAAGAACTGTAATTGTTCGCTATCTCATTTTTTGCCGCAGTGCGAAGGGTGGCGGTGTCAGCTGATCGACTGTGTTGATTTCGCCGATGCCTTGCATAGCCCTTTGTGTGCTACGGAATACCGCATGAACTAGAATAGACGTATGGTCTAGACGGCATTCAGAGGCACGTATCAAGCCTGCCTGACAGTTTGCCGTGGTAGTCCCGCCGCGGTGGTCTAGTGACTAAGGTACTCGGCTGCTGAACCGCAGGTCGCGGGATCGAATCCCGGCTGCGGCGGCTGCATTTCCGATGGAGGCGCAAATGCTGTTAGCCCGTGTGCTCAGATTTGGGTGCAGGTTAAAGAACCCCAGGTGGTCAAAATTTCCGGAGCCCTACACTATGGTGTCTCTCATAATCATATGGTGGTTTTGGGATGTTAAACCCCACAAATCAATCAATTTGCCGTGGTAATTGGCAGCTAGCTAGTAACGTCATAGCATATCTGCTAGGCACCGCACGTTTGGCGTGACGATCCAAGCATGTATATACATACCGTCATCAGAACTTAAACAGTCAGGAGTGCGGAGTGATTTCTTAAACAAAATGCCAACATGTCATTGTGTCTTCGAACTTTTCAAAGCCAGTTGTGCTTACACCGAAAACGAATGCCACGCACCTTAATCTATGTCCCGTTCTTCCTAGCACAGAACATCACTATCAAAGTTGTCTGTCCCAATCTAGAGCTGAGCGAAGTCAACCGAATGTATTCATATGATCTGATGATGTCACAGCGACTGTTCTTGATCGCGATCAAAACAGGTTCCAATCGGTTTCAATTTCGGTCATAAAGGCTTCGTGTGGATATCGCTTCGCATTTGTTATGCTGACGTGATGCTGACTTGTTCTTCATCTTAAGACGCAATGTGAATTTCCATCGTGAGCCATGCCATAAGAGTCAACATTTCGAGTACCAATTTCTTTGTAAAAATAAAAAAATCTGCTACTACTTGTTAAAAAAAAGAGAGACTTTAAAACAGGCCCATATCTCTTTCATCACTGAGACCGGGGCTAAATGAAGGGAGGCCCCAGTTTTGATTGCACAACAGACCAGATTTTCATATGTTACTAAGCACATGTGTAGAACAAAGTTTTCTCAAACCAAACTAAGCATATTTGTATCCCTTTTGCCTTCCAGCTGTGGTGTACCAGAAACATTAAGGAAACTGAGAAACTATATATTGCATGTTTACAATGCATGGTATGAGTGATACGTTGAGCTTACATCATCTTGTTCTGTTAATATTGCCACGTTCCATTTGTTTCCGAAAGTCGACGTCGGGAACGGCCTTAGTAGGTCCATACCAATCTGCTGGAAAGGTCAAGGAGGTGGTTCAATTGGCGGCAGAAGTCCCGCCGGCCTTGTCGGTGGTGTCTTGCATCGCTGACAGTCCCGGCATGTCCTCACATAACGAGTGCCGTCGGTGGTAAGACGTGGCCAACAGTACCTTTCTTGTATCCTCGCGAGCGTGCGAGAAACACCGAGGGGCCCTGCCGTCGGATCGTCGTGCAGGGCCTGCAGGAGTTCTGGTCGCAGAGCTGAAGGCACCACAAGGAGGTGCTTAGCTCGAAGCGCTGAAAAGTTTTTATTTTGTAGAAGACCGTTTCGCAGGAAGAACGACGCAAGTGCGCGCTTGAATACCTTCGAGACTTCGGCGGTCCTGCCTTCGAGGTATTCTATTAGGGCCCTAAGTTCCGGGTCGGCCTGCTGTCGTTCAGCGAAGTCGTCGGTAGTTATCGTTCCCAAAAAGTAGTCGTCATCCGGGTCGTTGGGTAGCGGTTGGTCGACAGGCGCACGAGAGAGACAGTCGGCGTCGGAGTGTTTCTTGCCAGACTTGTAAATAACAGTAATGTCATATTCTTGAAGTCTCAGGCTTCATCGTGCAAGGCGACCTGAACTCCTGCAGGCCCTGCACGAAGATCCGACAGCAGGGCACCTCGGTGTTTCTCGCACGCTCGCGAGGATACAAGAAAGGTACTACTGGCCACGTCTTACCACCGACGGCACTCGTTATGTGAGGACATGCCGGGACTGTCAGCAATGCAAAACACCACCGACAAGGCCGGCGGGACTTCTGCCACCAATGGAACCACCTCGCCGACCTTTCCAGCAGATTGGTATGGACCTACTGGGGCTGTTCCCGACGTCGGCTTTCGAAACAAATGGAACGTGGCAATATTTTTTCAGCCGTTGTCATATTGCGTACCAGGTAGCTAAAATTCCAAATTTATGGTATTCTTCTGTTCTGAATTTTGAGAAACTTTTAGCGTGCAACTATAGATTTTCTTTCTAAATTGCAAAATTATATCTGCCTAAAATCATTGTGGAAGTGCACTCAAATGAAAAATGAAGCAGTTCCTTGCATAGCCTAACAACAAAGCGTACATGCATAACTGTTTTTTTTTTTCATTTTTGATAGATGTCACAGAACAGCACATTTTTTTATATTTTTTACCATTATGAGGAGAGGCAATGAGACCAAAAGCTGTGGCTAGGACACTGTTGCTAAAATTTCGGGCCAAAGGAAAAATGTCGCAAAATTGCTGCTTCATACAGCCAGGAAGCCAAAGAGAACACGAATATTCAAGATCATCAAATCATGCAAGATATATGAGAAAAGCAAATATGTCACACCTGAATAGAGTTCACGAATATGATGCAGCATTTGTAAACGCACTTATAGCATTCAGTGCATTGACGCTACGTCGAAGTGGCTTGCCATGATTGATTACCACAATTTTAATTATGTGCAAAAATGCAGGCTTAACTGTGATGTTCGCCCTTATCCGTTGCAGAAACAAGACAAGACATGCACAAACACAGAGTCGTTGAATGCGAATGAAAAGCAATATTCTCCTTTTTCGTTATTTTCTTGTGAATTCGTGCACTCTTCTGTGCCTGCCGTTTCCTCCTTGTCTTCGTCGTGTTTCAATATTATCTACACCTACGGACAAGACAGACACAAGCTGAAAGGGTTTGTGTATGTGAAGACCTTGGGACAAAGCCGCTAGACTCAATACCACAGGCAGAGGCGCAGAATTGTGTAGAACGTCTGAAATTAAGGTTCACTGCAATTTTTTTTCCACAGATTTAGAAGTGTTCCTCTGTACTGCTTTCATTGGGTCTTTTTGGCCAAGAAATTTGGCAGCAGAATTACAGCTTAGTGCCCTTATGAGACAATGTGACAGATGTTGTCCCACTTATTCGAAGATGCTTCATGGGTCGATGAGCCACATGCGTCCCACTTTTTTCTCATAAATTGATGGCCATATATAGTGAAGATTGTGTCACACTTTTTTTAGGCATGAAGTGCTGCAAATTTCTATTATTATGTGAAAAATCGATGAACCCACGAAGGGTAAGTTAAACTGCATAATAAGCAAAATTGAAAGTGAGAATGCAATATATTGCTATATATACTATATAATTTTAATATATGATTATAATATATAATATATACTATATAATTTTAAGCCAGATTAACAATTGTCTGAGCTGCAGCAGGCAACGTGCAGAAATTCTCTAGAACTTGATACCAAGCTTTTGCCACGAAGCGGTGCAATGGCACAGCTGCTGTGATTTTCAAACACCATTTCAAAATACATATACAACTCAAATTACTCAAGGGAAAGGGAGCTTGATTTTATCATACTTCTGCATGTTTCCAAATAAAAAAAGATCTATTTACACTTTCTGGCCAGTTAATTGCTGTACCCCTAAACAGACATAAAAGTGAAAGCCATGACAATTGGTAGTCTAACAATGGACCTAGGGATTTCAACAACACACCAATGTGATTTGGCATAAGCTGTAAAAGCTTATTCAATCAGTCATACATTGTTACCTTTTTATGCCAGCTTTAGCCCGTTAGTTTTAAAAATCTCGTGGGCGTCGTTGATTGTGAGTGATGAACCTTGTGAGCAACCGGAAAACCAAGAAAGATGCAAATAAAATAAGTAATAAAAACTTTCCCAGTTTGCGGGAGGATCGAGCCCAGGCCGTTTGCATAGCAAGCAGGCATTCTACCGCACAGCCACACATCTGCTTGGAAATTCAGGGAAAATAACTTCATCTGCTTGAAGATGCAGTGAAAGTAATGTTAGGCTTTGCAAACACATGTGTCCTGTATACTGCCTTCACAATTCAATATGTAATATCACAGTAATATTGCTTGATACAAGCGTGCATTGTAATCAGGCATCAGAACATGCGATTATCTTAAGGACTTCATAGTTAAAAGGTGGCCAGCCATAAAAAAATGCACACATTTCCTTCAGAGCACATAGTGAGTGCATACCAAGTTTGAAAAGATTTCATGCTCCAAGTGCTTGAAGTACGCACTAGGGCCAGGGTATCGTTATCGTGTTCAATTCTTAAAATCGAAGCTTAAGGGTCCCCCAATTTTTCTTTTTTAAGTGAAGGAAACGAAACATTATTTTAACCATGGATATTTTTATGCCAGCAATTCGACTAGTAGGTTAGCTCAGTGAGCCATTTTTTCTTTTATATCAGCTTTATTTGACTCAAGGAAAGCAATATTATTTAAAATGGCACTCTATGCCAAAGACCTGACATGGTGTCTATTGTTGGACATTAATCTCCTGGTATCCTCAGCCCTGCCTCTTTCCCTTGTTGAAGGGCCTGCTTTTTGTTTGAGAATAGGTGGCAACCCTGGTGACAGCAA